CCCGGCTCTCTCTGATCTGCGGATGCTGAACAGCCGAAGCCGTTCCCTGAACCGTCCTGCCTTGTTCGATGTTTTCCTCGGGCATGTTTGCCAAAGAGCTTCGCTTGTAGGGGCGCGTATGATGAAGGTGGTTCTTCTTTCGTCCACCTCCACACCCTCTCCCATCTGCCTCTCCTCCCTGCGAGCACAACAACACGAATGACCTACGATGGATCCTGGCCGCTGTGTGCACAGAGTGGTGGTCATCACATGAGCGGGCATACGCCTCACAAGTTCGAATAGTAGCTCTTCCTGCCGAGGCCACGGCCTCCATGCAATGCCTTCATGGGCACGGGCGAGCTCCCCAGAGGAGCACGCACGACTCCGGCGTTCGTTCGTTCGTTCGTTCCCATCTGCCCCTCCTCACGGGAGAAAAGCGGAGGAGGAGGGAGGGGGGAGGAGGAGGAGGAGGAGGAGGAGGAGGAGGAGGAGGAGGAGGAGGAGGAGGAGGAGGAGGAGGAGGAGGAGGAGGAGGGGATGGCGGAGGAGGAGGAGGGCGAGGAGGAAGAGAGGGAGGAGGAAGAGGAGGAGGAGGACGGCGAGGAGGAAGAGGAGAAGCAGGAGGAGGACGAGGAGGAGGAGGAGGAGGATCTGCCTCTCCTCCTTGGGGCTCCGTGGACCTCTCGGTCGGCCAGCCCCCCTCCTGTGCCGGTCAGGTCGAGGAGCTCGTCCGCCGCGGCTGGTGGCAGGCCGCGCAGGCCCTGGTGGCGAGGCGCGCGCGCGCCCGGCCGCCAGCTCCTGCAGGGGGCGTTCTGCCCCCGCCCCACCCCACTCGGGCCGAACGAAAGAGGGGGAAAGGGAAGGGGGGGGCGCCACAGGGGGGGGGGCAGGGGGGGGGGGGGGGGGCTTCGGTCCGCGGCGCATCAAACCGCAGAACAGCGGATGCAGAACGAGGTCTCCGGCCGCCGCCGGAACCCGAGAGGTGTCGACAATTGGGGCGCGCGGGTGGCATCGCTGTTCGGAAATTCGATGCACCAGCAGATCAAATTCACCCCCCCCCCCTCAGGGTCCACCCCCCCCTTAGGGGGACCCCGAGAAAGGGGGGGATAGGGCAAGGGGGGTATGAAGTCTGCTGCATGCAGCTGGTTTCGGCCCCGCCCCCGGGCCCATTCCTCGACACGTGGGCGCCTCCAGGCGCCGGAGGAGGCGCTGGGAGAATCGGCTGCGTGAGCCGATTCTCCACCCTACCCTTTGCTGTCCCCCTCCTCCTCCTCCTCCCTCCTCCTCCTCCTCCTCCTCCTCCTCCTCCTCCTCCTCCTCCTCCTCCTCCTCCTCCTCTTCCTCCTCGCCCTCATCCTCCGCCATCCCCATCCTCCTCCTCCTTCTCCCCCCTCCCTCCTCCTCCTCCTCCCTCCTCCCCCCTCCCTCCTCTTCTTCCCTCTTCCTTCCTCCACCCCCTCCTCTTCTCCCTCCTCCCTCCTCCCTCCTCCGTCCCTCTTCCTTCCCTCCTTCTCCCTCCCCCCATCTCCTCCCTCTCCCCTTTCGTTCCCCCCAACCCACCCCCCACCCCGGAGGGTTTCAAAGGCTGTCGGCGCGCAAAGGGTTGAGCGCCACCACTTGCGCTCAGGTCTGTGGTTCGAGGGCTCGAGCGCATGCTGACCTCGAGCGGAGGGGGTTGGGCCGTACCCCTCTGCCCCAACCCCTGCTGGAGCCCTCCAGCCCCGTCCCCTCCCTCCTCTGCCAGCGCTGGGAGCACGTCCAGCACCTGCGCCAGCGTAGTTCCCCCACCCACCACAGGCATCGCGGCCTCCCATTGGCCACCCGCCCACCCACCCAGCTGCAGTCATCCGCCCAACCGTGGCCAGTGCACCCAGCCGTAGCGTCAACTGTAGACTTGGCTATGACGTTGGAGTGGGTAAGTATGGGGCGGCGGTAGTAAACAACGTTGCTTGCATTGTGAATCCATCGCCCTGAATTCCACGCCCTGGGAGATGTGCACACAGATGGGAATGGTATTGGTTTGAGTGGCGCTGGATGCGAGCAGGCTCCGAAGGCGATGCGTAGATTCTAGGGTGGGCGGCGTGGAAAAGTCGCATCGATACGTAAGCGTTGCCATGGGAACACTGTTGAGCCAGGGGCAAAACCAAACGGAGCTAGAAGTCGCAGACTGTGGCTTAGCTTAATCCCAAGCTGAGGCTCAAGGCTGACCCAATGCCAGAGCAAAGGCTTAGCCAAAGACGTGTTTAAAAGTTGATGGAGTTCAGCCAAGCTCTAAGCCGAATGCAACGGCAGGCAAGGCACGGGAATCTGCAGTCCAATTCCGTTTTCTGTTTTCGGTGCATTTCTTCTCGGCATGCGCAGTTCGCGCCAATAACCGCAGACAGTGCGCCTTGATTGGTGCCGCAGCCTTGCACTGAGTGAAGACACGTCGGTTTGATGATCACCGATGAAAGGTTGAGGCACGCCGCCCGCATCCTCGCCAGCGGGAGCCAGACTGAGCCAGCTGCCATCGACACTTGCGCACAACTTGACATGTGCGCGCAGCGCACGAGCATGTGTCTCGCTGGGCTCGTTTGAGGCACGTCTCGCTGGGCTCCTTTGTACGTGCATCGGGCGATTGGGGTAGCCCTCCCGAGGGGCAGCTGATGTGTTGATCTGCCTTTTCGTGTTGTTTTCTGTGGAAAAATGTATCCCCTAGCCTTCTGCCAGAGGCGACGATAGGAGCGAAGAGCCCCGGGCAGGAGCAATACGTCCATGTATCCAGGGGCGCGGATGATCCATATCTTCGGCGAGGCTCCCGGGCGAATGCGTGTAATGCCCGCCCGTGGGCTATTCGCCCTTATCGTCGCCGCCGATTCTGCTCCCCCACCCCTCCCGCGCCCGCGTGCACGCGCACGGCCGCGCCGGCACGAACGCCCACTGGCCCGCGCGTCCAGCAGACCACGCGCCCGCGTCTGCACGTCCGCACGCCGACACGTCTGCGCCCACGCGCCCACCCGCCGGTACCCCCACCCCACCTGTCTGCTCGATTGCCGATCTGTCGGCTGCGAGCGAGGGGGGGAAGTGAGAAGGGGCGGGCCTTCTCAGTAGGCTCGGAAGTCCCCCGGCTTCCCCGAAGACGCAGGAAATTTTCCAGAAGGCGCGAGGGCTTTGGGAAGTCCTGCCGTCTTTTGAGAAGGCCTTCCCCTTCTCACTTCCACCCCTCGCTCGCCGCCGAATCTGGGCTGACACTTAGTCACCAGCGCCTCCGTTGCTTACACCCATCAGAGGTCTTACGGAAAAACTGCCATTTTCGTGGACTTCAGATTTCGATTAAGAGATCCAGAATCTGGGCTGGGCCTTGGGTGTTGTCTTGTATCCTCTTCGTGGTTGTGGAATGTTCGTGCATCTGGACCTGGACTAGTAATTAAGAACATTTCGAAGTGTAGCCTATTTTCTTAGCTTCGAATGTTCTTAATTCGAAGCAGGGGTGTATGGATATTGCCACCCAGCCAATGCATGAGTGGACTCGAGGATGATGCGTCCAGGGGAAGTCGGAGATGTTGAACGCGATGAATTGCACGACGGCGTATCTGACGGGCGGCTTGGCAGATGGGAGCCAGGAAGAGGAGAGGAGGAGAGGAGGAGGAGGAGGAGGAGGAGGAGGAGGAGGAGGAGGAGGAGGAGGAGGAGGAGGAGGAGCTAGTGAAGGAGCACCCGCTGCGTTCGCGCAGGTCTCACCTTGCTCGCTTGGACTTCACGGCGCCCGTGCGGCGCGCGACCGCCGAGGTGAAGAGGGAGGCCGACGCGCTGCTCAAGGCGGGGCGGTGACGATGGGAGGTTCCATCCGAGGAGGGGAGGCCGTCCGTCCCCGTTTGAGGAGCTTGGCGCGTCCTTGCCCGACTTGCGCGGCTTACGATTCAGTAAAAGGTTCAGTCCACGTGTACCCAAAAGAATGGTGTTCAGCATCCTCCTCGTAGCCACCCCCTTTTCCCCACCAACCCCCCCCCTCCCCCGGTTCTTCTACGGGGTTCAGTATCCTTGCGGTCTAGGCCGCCGGTCTTCGCGAGAAGCCGAATGTGCCGTGCGCTGTCGTCTGCGGCGGCCCCCCTTTGGCGAGAAAGAGGCTCTCATCGAAGTGTTGGACGAATGTGAATGGGTCCAGCGCCATCTCCGCTGCTGCCAAAACCTCATTGAGCGAGAGCTTGAGACTCAGCACCAGGAGGCGCGCCTCGCGGAAGCGACGGGCAGGCGCGCTCACATGCTCGAGGCCATTGCCTCCACGCCGTGCCCCGATGAGCACGGGCGGGCTCCCTAGTGGATCGCGCACGACTCCGGCGTTCGCGTCGCCTCGCTCGAGACATAGCACGGTCTGGTCGAGGCAAACTGCTGTCTGTCTTCGAACCGACCTTACGGACAGAACGTTCGCGGGTGGCCCAGGTTGTGCGAGATCTCCCTGTCGTAGACGAGAGGCCGGTCCCCGCCAGCATTGATACAAGTGCCTCCCTGCACACATCGTGAGACGGGTGTCCACAGACCGACCGCAAACATCTTCAGCACCAGAGGACCCAACTGCCAAAATGAAAGCAGGCATCAACCCAGACATGATCGCGTCGCATATATGCATTTATGTATATACATACATGTGTATATAAATATTAACAAAGAAAACAAACAAACAAACAAACAAACAAACAAACAAACACAGAACATAACAAAACGGGAAGTTGTTGGCCGTGTACGGCCTCTGGGGCCTTCGACGGGCCCCAGGACCGTCAGAAAACGATTCGCGATCAAAAGCGGGCCCAGAAGAATGGGTCAGGATTTCCGGGGTCCCCGCATTGAAAAAACACAGCATCGCATGTCTGGAAATCTCTTGCGAGGGGGGATATCTCAGTTAACTTGCGCTGAGAATTCAAAGTGACCGACGTTTTTTTTTTGTCATCACACGGTCAGCGGCTAGGACTGTGACAAGGCGATCCCGTGTCCCTCTGCATTTAATTTGGCTCAAGTTTGGCCATGAGAGGGGATAGTCATTGCTGATGGTCGTTGGGCAGAGTGCGCCAATGGCGCACTGGGACCTGTTCCGGAAGAAGCCGATCAGGCGGCCAAGGACAGCCATCGAAACGTACATAGCATTTGCCCCAAGAGGATCAGGCGGGTGGTGGTGGCGATGGTGGCGAGTTGATCATCGAAGATGTTTGCGGCGAGTCACCGCCGCCCCCTGCCTTTTGGAATTGCTTCCGTCGTGAAACGTCAAGCGAAAGCGCGGCCACGCTAGTGGATTCAGCGTTCTCCCAGCCGCTGGTCTGGGGGAAACGGGCTGTATTGGAGTCATAGCCGCGTTCTTTTCGGGCATGTCGGATATTCTTGGGGGGCTCCTTGGGCCGCTCGGGCCAGCTTGGAGCTCCCTTGGGCCGTCTTAGGGCGCTCTTTGGTCGTCTGACGCCTTCGGAGGCCACATTGCGGGCCCCTCTGGTCCGCCTCTTCCGACCAGTTTAAGTCGTTGGTGGGGTGAACCTCCCTTGGGCTGTCTTGGGGCCATCTTGGAGCCGTCTTGGAGCCCTCCTGGGGGCCGTCTGGGGCGTCTCGATCCCGCCTGGGGGTGCCACTCTCTTGGAGCCCTCTTGGGGTGCCTTGGGAACCTCTCAGGCTATCCTGGGACATGTTTGGACCGTCTCGTACCATCTTAGGTTTCTTGAGCCGCCAACCAGGGCTGTCTTGTGGACGGTTGGGTGAGCGCGCGGGCGTGTGGGCGGGTGCATGGGTGAACGGTTAGGTGGGTGGATGTCTGAGTGGCGGAGCGGTGGCAGTGGTGATGGTAATGGAGTCGGTTGCAGCTGAGCGCACCAGGGAGATTCCCAAAGGTATTGGAATTTGCATTCGAGTGTTCAGGGGGGGTTAGTGGTGGTGGTGGTGTTCACCAAGGTGTCCGCACTGTGATCTCGAGCACCCTTGCCTCAGGCCCAGCGGCTCTGAATGCAGTCCCCAGACGGCCACTCCCCTGGCGCCGGCGCTGGAGCCGGGCTACCTGCTCGAGTTTGACCGAGACATGCCGTTCTCCAGGAACATCAGCAGCACGTCGGAAAAGATGGAGCGGACCCTGAGCATATGGGACCTGATCGGCTTCGAGATTGGCAGCATCATCGGGCCCGGGATCTTCGTGACCACAGGCCTGGCGGCGAAGGTGTATGCTGGGCCTGCCATCGCCCTGTCCTTCGTGGGCGCAGCCGCGCTCTGCGTGTGCGCGGGGCTGGTGTACTGCGAGTTCGGGGCGCGCATACCGTCCGCGGGTGGGGCCTACGCCTATGTGTACAGCTCGCTGGGCGATGCGGAGGGCCCAGCCGCGCACCAGCCCCGGAGCTGCCCTGGCTGGCTGCCCCCGGGATTCGTGCGCACGCCCTCCCAGCATGGCCCCGGAGACGTGCGTACCAATCCTGGGTTTTAAGTCGGGCGTGTCCCCCTGCAGGCGGATTTTGGAGGACAAAATAAGAATATCCAAAAAATGCCCCCAAAATAGTCAACAAATGATCGAAAAATCAGCCCCATCTTATTTTTTTAACTTTTTTCGAATGTTCCTCCTGTGGAGGGACCAGCCCGACTTAAACCTGGGTCCGCCAGGGCCCCAGACGGGTCGGGCGCTGGTGTGCTGCTGGTGCTGCCGCGGAGGCGAGCTGCCGGCCTTTGTGGTCGCCGCCCTGATGTCGCTGCAGTACTTCGGCGTGGCCTCGGGCGGCTGCCGCGCGGCGGCCAACTACATCGTGCACTTCTGCACCTCGGTCGGGCTGCCCCTGCCAGGCCCCGGGGAGCAGCAAGGGCACCCCAGAGCGCCCGAGCGAAGCGGCTGGGCGGAGGCACGGTGCGGCGCAGCGCCATGCTCTGAATGCCCCCGTGGGGTCATCCAGGGCCTTGGCATCGCTCGGACGTGTGCATTTTTCCTTCGGCGAGGACCATCGAGGAGCATCCTTGACCATTTGGCGAGAAAACCACGCACGAAACCGAGAAAAACACAGGGAAAGGACGTCCGAGCGATGGCAGGGGGCCGCCCCCGTGGGCACCTCGTGAGCGCAAGGCGGCTCGGGCCCCTGCTGCCTTCGCGTGGCCGTCGGGGCCCCGACGGCTGGAGCGTCGCCTCGTGCCCCCCTTGGTCGGCCCGGAGACGTGCCGCGCCGCGCTGCGGAGCGCGAGGCCCGCCCTCCCGCGGGGTCCGCCCGGACGGTGTTCCCCGCACGCAGGGGGCGGCGGGGGGGCTCACGCGCCGGGGGCCGGCGCTGACGGAGGTCGGCCAACACCCCCTGGTCGGGAGCCGCGCGGGGCCGATGGCCCCCGTGGTCGGCGCTCCGCTGGCCCGGCTTGGGGGAGCTGCTCGGCGGCCGGCCTCGCGGCGCGAACGGGCCGTGGCTGACGCTGACCCGGGTCCGCGTGTCCCCGCGGAGCGGCGGCGAGCGAGGGGGGCAAGCTGAGAAGGGGAAGGCCTTCTCGCAGAGGGCGGCGGGACCTCTCAGAAGCCCTCGCGCCTTCTCAGAAGGCTGCTGCGTCTTCGGGGAAGGCTTGGAACATTTCTCAGAGGGCCGGGGACCTCCAAGCCTTCATGGAAGGCCTTCTCCTTCTCACTTCCCCCCCTCGCTCGCCGCCAAGACAAGGCCGCGAACCCGCCTCAAAGGCGCCGCGAAGCGGCCGGCTCGGGGCCTGCAGGCGTCTCAAGTGCGGTCCTCTTCGCCTCCCCCGGGCCACGCGGGGAGGCGGGGGCGCCTGGCCTGGAGGGTGCGCGGCGTCGTGGGGACCAGGGGTGGGGGGGGCCGTGGGTTCAGGCCTCATGGATGGGGTCGGAGTAGCTGGGGTCGAAGGATCGCGCCGCATCGCCGATGCATCGGCGATGCGGCTCCGTGCGGAGCCCGATGGTCTCCACGCTGGCGTCGCCGATGCAGCGCCGGTGCATCGCGGATGCATCGCCGAGCCCGCCCGGGGGGCCACATGGCGATTCCGCAGGGGGCGCACGAGAAGCGCAGCGACGAGAGCAACGTCGGCGGCGAGCGAGGGGGTGAAGCGAGAAGGGGCGGGGCCTTCTCACAAGCCTTGAGTCGGGCCTGTCCCTCTACAGGAGGAATGCTCAAAAACAGTCCAAAGCAGAACAGTCCAAACATAGTCTGGGGACGATTTGTTGGTCTGCTTCGCATAGTTCTGACAATTCTTGGAGTGTGTTTATCGGCGCACAAAGCCCGCCTGTCGAGGGACATGCTCGACCTAACACGAGCCTCGGAAGTGCCCCGGCCTCCCGAGGAGGTGTCTGCGCCCTCCCCGAGGACCGCAAAAGCCTCTCCGGAGAGGCGCGGGGGCCTCTGAGAGGTCCCGCCGCCCTCCGAGAAGCCCTTCTCCTTCTCCGGGAGCCCCGTGCGCGTCTTCGGGGAGGGCCCAGGAGACAGGGGCTCCCTCGAGGGCGCGAGGTTGTTCGCGCTTCGCGGTCCTCGCTCCTCCTTCTCGTCCTCCCCGTCCTCCTTTTCGTCCTCCTCGTCCTCGCTCCTCCCCCCCTCGCTCGCCGCCGACAGCGGCAGTCGGCACTGACGGCGGGCTTCTGGGGCTGACGTCTTCGAACCAGAGCAGCCGGGGCGGCCAGGGGCCCACGATTGCACGAAAAGTTGCGTCTTCGGCGGAACATCTTCACTTCATGGGGCATTTCTATGTAGGCACGAGCAGTACAATTCGTCGCCATGCGATGCAATGCAAGGCAAACTATTGAATTCTAAATAGTGTGAAGCGCTCATTGCACATCACAGCAACGCCCAGCATGGCACCACCGAGCAGCTGATGCGATGGCAGAAACACGTGCCACTGGATAGCATGACATAGCAGACCATACAATGGCATAGTTTGTCGCAGCACAGCGTAGAACTGCTACGCTGTGTTGTGAGGGGGCTCGCCGCCGAGCAGATGATGCGATGGCAGAAACACGTGCCACTGGATAGCATGACAAAGCAGACCATACAATGGCATAGTTTGTCACAGCACAGCGTAGACACGCTACGCTGTGTTGTGAGGGGGCTCGTCAAGTCGAGGCAAGGCCGTCAAGGGGGCTCGTCAAACCGGAGTGAGGCCATCAACAACGTCCGTCAATTCGGACGGAGCCCGTCAAGAGAGCGTTGACGGCCAATTCCTTCCACTAAGAGTGAACTTGCGGCGAAGTTTTTTAACAAGAGGGAATTGATGGCTCAAACGACAGGCAGAGTGTGCACGGCCACCCGTCACGACGGTATGATACCCCGCCAGATCAGCCGCCCGCGACATACTCAACACAGCATAGACCGACATAGCGTTGGAGAGGCTTCATATTGTGAAGATCGTTGCGTAGTGCTGCGCAACTCAACATATGATGACATTTCCAAGCAGCCCATAGCATTGCATCGCATAGCACAGCGCACCGTGCCAGCATAGCGTATCATCGCATTGAACAAAAACGAGCATAGTGTCGTTCACGTGGCATCGGGAACGGCGCAACACAGCACATATCAGTTTATAGCAGTGCATAGCGTATGATAGCACGGCAACGCGTAGTGAACCATCGTTGAGCATTACATCGCATACCATAGCAGTACACAGTACAGTACGGTATAACGCTACATTGCATGGCATGGTGCCACTATTATTGCATGCCTAAGGGAGTACTGCAAAATCCTGGATGGCCGTGAACGGCATTGCATAGTGTTGCATTGCATCGTACGGGATGGCCTAGCATAGAGAGACCTTCTATCGGATGGCCAAGAAAACCAGCACGTAGCATTGCATTGCATTGCATGGCATGTCTTGGCGTAGAGTGGTATAGCTGTGCGCAGCGTATCATTACACTGCATAGCATGGCATAGCGAAGCAAACCGCTGCATGGCATGACAGCCCGAGGAACCCCTGGGGACCCCACGGAGCCCCAGAATTAACCCTGGGGGGCCCGGGGCATGTCCCATATGGACGCCAACGGCCTTCTTGCACAACAAGTCAACAAGCAAAGCCTAATTTGGGAAAGATCGTCGCCTGTTGCGTGCATCTCGGCTTCTCGAACCCAGGGTAGTGTCTCACTCCTATTCGCGTCTGCGGGAGTCCTGATGTCTTGATGCCATATGAGGCTTCTAGCCATTCGGGATACCAGAATCTGCCAGATATTTACCGAATTGAGAGCGGAGGACAGTCTGAAACGTCTCTCTCCGAAGCGGACAGTTCCGAACAACTAGATTTAGTCCGTCTCTTGGTCGTCGTGTTCGTACGCTTCCGTTCCCCACAGGCTTTCTGTTGGATATCCCAATATCCCAGGGCATCAACTTGAGCCTCCTCGCTCCACTCCAGTCAATCTTGCTGACAATGATAATCATGAGGGGCACCAACATGTCGACAGCATTCGGGAACATCGTGGCAACGGCTAATGTCATCATGATCGTCATATTCATAGTTGTTGGCCTCATGAACTCTGACACGAGCAATTGGACTGACGACTTCTGCCCAAACGGTGCCGCCGGTGTGCTGTCGGGCTCGTCGGTGATCTTTTATGCGTTCAATGGTTTCGACGCAGTCGGTACGCTAGCAGAGGAGATCCCTAATCCTGAAAAGTTGGTGCCCCGGGGGCTGCTGGGATCCCTCGCGATTGTTACAGTGGCGTACGTTGGCATCGGTTTTGCCCTCACAGGAATGGTGCACTACAGCCAGCTGGATGATGTCGCACCTTTCGCCCATGCGTTCGTAATGAAAGGTATATCGTGGGCTTTCTACATGATTACGTTTTCAGCCGTGCTGAATTGTTGGGCAAGTTCTTTTGCTTCGATCATGGCGCAGCCCCGCCTGCTGTACGCTGTTGCAAAGGATGGACTTATCCCTTCCCCGTTCAAGAAGATTGATCCCACCACGAAGACGCCGCTGTGGGGTACTGCATTTGTCGGTGGGTTCACAGCTTTATGTTCCGGCATTGCAGACTTCTCCACTCTGGCCATGACAGTGTCTTGTGGCATCCTGTTGGTATATGTATTTGTTGGCGTCGGCCTGCTGCGCATTCGTTATTCAAACGTGTTCGACACAAGCCGGGTATACGAGAGCATGTTCGACATCGCTTTGCCAGTTTACACTGGTAGTGTGTTTATCGGATCTTTGGCATCTCATCAAGGCTACGCCATGGCGACGTGGATGTGTGTTTCCTTGGCAGCTGTTTCCGCTGGTATGTTCGGCCTCATTTGGGCAAAGTGTGGTGCAGGTACAACGGCGGGCGCGCAGTTCCTGTGCCCGGCTGTGCCGGTCGTGCCCCTCGTGTCCATCGCCGCGAATTGTTACGTAGCACTGTCCCTCGGGCTGGGGCCGCTGGTGAACGTGGTTGCGTTCGTGCTGGTGTGCTCCCTGGCGTACGTCGCGTACGGGGCCTCGCACTCCAAGCTGGCGTGCCGGAGCGGCTTGCGGAAAGCGTTGCTAGGCAACGGAAGCAAGGCGTCCTGAGGCAGCTCAGCTTAGCCGCCAGTGCCTGACTGACTTGAGGCTTGGGGGGCTGGTTGGAAGGTCGGGGGCGCAGAGGTGTGTGGATACCATGGCCTGGGCCACGAAATCTCCCGGGTTGCAAGGGCCATCTTCTTCGTATGCATCCCCCATACCCCTCCTCGTCTGCGCACATGCCCGGGGCCACGGTGCGCTAGCACTCCTCTTCTTGGCAACCGCTCTTCGGTGCACCCGGGGAGGGACTCCAGGGCCAAGGGGCCTGGGGGGGGACCCCGCAAGAGCAGGGCAAGGCGCAGAGGAGAGGCAACTCCCCCCCCCCGCTTCTGTCAGTGAGGCGGGGCGTCCCCTTTTGGATATTAGGAACAGGTGCGTCGTGGCAGAGGGCCGATTAGGCCGCACTGCGTTGAAGCAGTTGAGTGCGACTGCATAGGGAGGTTGTTATCGTCCCACTCGCAAGAAGTGGAGGGAAACGAGCCGTTGACCGATTTTCCAGAGGCCTTCGGCCCATCCCGCCGTTTTGTCTTGTCTGCGGGTCCGAAGCGTAATGGGAACATTGTCGGAAGTATCGTGGTCTCATCCGATGTGGGATAGTTGGGATTATTTTCGGGGTCTGTTTGTGGCCTCGCGGGGCCTCCTGCGAGCCTCTTAAGAGCCTCTTGGGAACCTCTTGGAGGCCTCTTGGAGGCCTCTTGGGGAGCTTCTTCGGGGCCTCTGGGGGCTACTGGGTCCACCTTGGATGGGAGGCTTCCAGCGGTCTGGCGATGGCGCCTCCCTGGGACCTCTCTAATAGGATTCGTCAAAAACAAGTGGCGCGTGTGCCATGGCTCTTGCGCAAAAAGGAAGAGGGGGGGAGGAGGAGGCGGAGGAGGAGGGGGGAAGAGGGGGCAAGACATCGCCCCTCGGGGCCCAGCAAGGGGCCCAAAATCCCAGATGGGGAGGGGGGGAGGTGGTGTGCGTCGCGACGCGGAACAAGGTGCTCGGAGCGGAGGGGGCACGGGGCGGAGGTCCCACTGGGGCGCTGGGAGCGGGGAGAGGAGGGGGGGAGGTGGTGTGCGTCGCGACGCGGAATGAAATGGTCGGGGCGGAGGGGGCACTGGGCAGGGTTTGGGGCAGTGGGCCACGGGGCGGGGGTGTCCAACTGGGGCGCTGGGGACAGGGGGGGGAGGGGGGGGGGTGGTGTGCGTCGCGACACGGGATATAATTGTCGGGGCGGAGGGGGCACGGGGCGGAGTCCCCATTTGGGTGCTGGGGACGCGGGGAGGGAGGTGGGGGAGGTGGTGTGCGTCGCGACGCCGAATAAAGCGTTCGTGGCGGATGGGGCAGTGGGCGGGGCTCCCGCTGGGGCACTGGGGACGCGGGGGGGCTCGGGGCAGAGAGCCACGGCGCGGGGGTCCCACTCTGGCGCTGAGGACGCGGGGGGGGGGTGCGACTCGAATAAAGTGGTCGGAGCTCTGGACACCTTGTGCAAGATAATAAACTGACGGACAGTGTTGCGGTGCTTGTGTGTTCGGCGCTATTTCAATGCTGGCACGAAATCTTTGTTAGTGGATTGGTTTACTGCTTCGGCCCGGGACTGAACATTGAGAAATGGGAAACATGAAAGACGTGACCGTCGGATTCAAACATTGCAAACAGTTAATCCTGGGCTTGCGGATTTAAAACTGAAAACCGAAGGATCCCAATCTTGCGGCCGCGGATTGACATATTGAACGCTTGGAAAAGAGATATATGTTTGAAACATTGAAAAAAAGTTCGAAATTGACAGTCATTCAATCCGGGGCGGTCTGGGTTGATCTTCATATCATGTGGGGCCTGCACTCGATATTAAATTTCGGCGCGTTCCTACTTCATGTCTTCTTCTGGAGCGGGTCGGGGGGGGGAGGGCGGCCCATGGGGCGAGCGGGGCATCAGGGCATGCAGCCCTACGGAGAGGCTCGTCCAGCCACGCGGAGAGGGGCCGGGCGGGCGGGACACCAGCTGAAGCGGCTCCTGCGCGGCCCTTTGTTTGCCGCGCGCGGACAGGCGGCGCGGAGCTGGCCGTCCGAAGCGGGTCGGGTGGGCGGAGCAGGAAGGAGTGGTCTGCCAAGGCTCTCTCTCTCTCTCGAGCGCGGTCGGGCGAGGTGGGGCGGGCAATGGGCTCCCCGCGCAGCAGGGCCCACGGGGGGCAAGGCGGGTTGGGGCGGGGCAAGCAACGGCAGGGCTGTCCCGAGCGTGGTTGGGCGGGTCGGGGCCAACGGAGGAGGCGGGTCGATCGGGCGGGGCGTAGAAGTGCAGGGCTCTCTCTCTCTCTCTTTCTCTCTCTTTTTTTTTTTCTCTCTCTCTCTCTCTCTCTCTCTCTCTCTCGCTCTCACGTAGTTGTGGGGGACGGGGCCATCGAACGAGGCGGGTCGAGCGGGCGGGGCGTAAAAGTGCAGGGCTCTCTCTCTTTTTTTTGTTCTCTCTCTCTCTCTCTCTCTCTCTCCCTCTCTCTCACGTAGTTGTGGGGGGTCGGGGCTGATGAACGATGCGGGCCGAGAGGACGGGACATGAAAGCGCAAGACTCTCGCATATGCAGTTGGGGGTGTCGGGCACAACAAACGAGGCGGGTTCGGGCGGGCGGGGCATCAAGTCGCAGGGCTTGCTCGAGCGTGGCCGAGCGGTGCGGGTCCAGGGAACGAGGCGGGCCCGGCGGGCGGGACAGTGCAGGGCTCTCCTCGTGCGTGGCCAGGCGGAGCGGGTCCAGCGAGCGAGGTGGGTCGGGCGAGCGGGACATTCGACTGCAGGGCCCTCTTGAGCGTGGCCGGGCGGAGCGAGTCCAACAGACGAGGCGGGTCGGACGGGTGGGATGTTCAAGTGGCCCCAGGGCTCTGCACAACCCAGCGCCCCCATCGCCATGATCCCTCACGTCGGTGTCCTCCTCTACGCCCTCCCCCTTCCATCCTCACGGCAGGGGCGGGAGCCTTTGGCCAGCGGCTTTCCCATGGGTTTGGCCCACACGGTCTCCAGTGGTGCTTACCCTCCCCGTGCTCAAGTGGTGTTCCTCCGTCCTCGTGCTTCCTCCCTCCTCGTGTTCGAGTGGTGCTCTTCCCTCCTCTTGCTTTCTCCCTCCTCGTGCTCCAGTGGCGCCCTTCCCTCCTCGTGCCCTCCCTCCCTCCCTCTCGCGATGCCAGTGGTGCTTCTCCCTCCTCGTGCCGTCGCTCTACCCTCGTGCGCCGCACCCCTCGCGATTCCAGTGGTGCTCCCCTCCCCGTCGCGTTCCAGTGATGCTCCCTCCCTCCTCGTGCCCTCCCTCCCTCCCTCCCTCGATTCCAGTGGTGCTCCCTCCCTCCTCGCCCCCCCTCCCTATCGCGATGCCAGTGGTGCGCCCTCCCTCCTCGTGCGCCCTCCCTCTCGCGATCCCAGTGGTGTTCCCGCCCTCTCTCGATCCAAGTGGCGCTCCCTCCGTCCTCGTCCCCCCTCCCTCTCGCGGTTTCAGTGGCGTTTGCCTATTCGTCGTTCTCCATCCCCCCCGCGATTCAAGCTGGATCCTTGCACGGGATCCTAGGTAGCTTCGGGCACGCATCATGAACCCATCCACCCTCTATGCGATGTCCCTCTTCCCCATTTCGCCCTCCGTCCTCCCTTTTTGTTTTCCCCTTCCTCCTGCATTACGGCGGTGGCGTTCGTTAAGGATAGCGCGGATGAGGCTTCCGGCCCTGGAGGATTCCTTATCTGACGAGGGCGGCGGCGATACCCACGGCCAATCCACGATTGGAGTCCCACCGGCTTCCAGACCCTGGATTCCTCATCCGATGGTTCCTTACCCAATCAGTGCCTTCAATGCCTTGTGCATCATGAGTACCGTTCTCCTTTCCCACCTGATGGCGTGCGCACTGTCGCTGGCCCCCCTTGTGGAATATCTGAAGGTTCCTTTAAAGGCCTCTCCACTCAATCAGTGCCTTCAACGTCTTGTGCATCATGAGTACCGTTCTCCTTTCCCACCTGATGGCGTGCGCACTGTCTCTGGCCCCCCATTGTGGAATATCTGAAGGTCCCTTTTGAGGCCTCTCCGCCCCGAACGCCTTCGGCCGACCCGACAAGGGCCTTCTCGCCCGGGCGCCCGCCGCGCATGGCGTGCGCACTGTCTCCGGCCCCCCCTTGTGGAACAGCGGAAGGTCCCTGTCGAGGCCTCTCCGCCCCGAGCGCCGTCGGCCGACCCGGCAAGGGCCTCCTCGCCAAGGGCGCCCGCCGCGCTCCGGCCCGCCAAGGGAGGCTCCGGAGAGAGCCACGGGGAGAGCCCTCGGAGTGGGAATGTTGGTAATCCGATTGCAGCCGCAGGACACGAACATAAAACCGATAAACCGATGAACGGATCAACCGATAAACTATTTCGGTTGATCGGTTTATCGGCAGATCGACCGATAAACCGATATGATTATATCGGTTTATCGGTCGATCTGCCGATAAACCGATCAACCACTAAACCGACTCATCGCATGCGTGCCCGAATCTCAGCACAGCTTGGCTTTATCAGTTTATCGGTTTATCGGTATATCGGATGTTTCAGTTTATCGGTTGATCGGTTGATCGGTTTATCGGCCCGGCGTTGTCGTGGTTGTCCAATGGGTAATCCTTCGAAATTATCTCTCCTCTTCCTCCTAGTCCTCCCCTTCCTCTTCCTCCTAGTCCTCCTCCGCCTCCGCCTCCTCCTCCTCCTCCTCCTCCCTCTCCTCCTCCTCCTCCCTCCTCCGTTCCGATCCTCCCTCCCTCCCTCCCTCTCCTCCCTCCCTCCCTCACTGGCCCCGACGCCCATGGTTCTCCTAGTCCTCCCTCCCCCTCTTCCTCCTAGTCTCCTCCGCCTCCCCTTCCTCTTCCTCCTAGTCCTCCTCCGCCTCCGCCTCCTCCTCCTCCTCCTCCCTCCTCCTCCTCCTCCTCCTCCTCCTCCTCCCTCCTCCGTTCCGATCCTCCCTCCCTCCCTCTCCTCCCTCCCTCCCTCACTGGCCCCGACGCCCATGGTTCTGCGCGCACAGGGCCGCGGCCCCCGT